GGAGGAAGGGGGAGGGGGAGGGGGGAGGAAGAGGAGGAGGAGAAGAAGAGGAAGTAGAAGTAGTAGTGAAAAAAATTAAAGTAGTGGTATTAATTAAAGTAGTACTACTAATAGTAGTAGTGAAGAAATTTCAACCAGCACTTAACTTTTATTTTTAAAATTTTTGGTACCGGTGATCGAACTCAGGACCTTGCACTTGTGAAGCAGGCAGCAGAACCACTGAGCTAAATCTGCATCCCAGCACTTAACTTTTAGAAGCCGTGACCATTGCTGTCACAGAACTGACTTTCTGTGAGTGGAGCACTTTTGGGAGTTGGATCCCCTAAATGGCAATGTAGCATTTTCTAAATGGTTGCCTAAAAGAATTAATTAACTTCATATAGAGGAGCAACTTACCTTCAGAATCATTTATTAATGAATCTGCAGATGATTAAGGCTTACACATGATAGTGTAGTATTTGGACTTAACCTATGCAATTGTCCTGCCTCTCTGTTTCTCTCTCTCTCTCTTTTGACTCTCTCTGTCTGTCTGTCTCTCTTTGTCTGTCTGTCTGTCTCTTCTTTTTTGTGGTTCTGGGGATTGAACTCAGGGCCTGTGCATGCTAGGCCAGCACTCTACCATTGAGCTATATTCCCAGCTCCTCCCATATATGATGTAAATGCTATATACATAATAGTCATACTGTACTATTTAATAAATGATGACAAAAATTGTACTTGTTCCTACAGATGCAATTAAAACTATTTTCAGTCTGCAGTTGGTTGAATCTATATTTGCAGAAGCCATGCATATATTGTTTGCTTTAAATGTACCAATAAACTTAATGGAAAAAAAAAAGAAGCCATGGGCATAAGAGACCAACTATAAATGCAAGTTTCTGATACCTGTACACACACACCTAAACCAGCCCATGACATACCAATTGTAGGTTGCTTCAAGAATTGTCCTAGCCTCCTTTTCCCTGTGCTAACTCTGAGCTGCCTCTGGGCAAGGTCTGAAATTTAGCTGAAGTTCATCTTGATTTCTTTTCCCTTTGCTTTCAGCATCCAGCTGCTCTCTCTGTCAGAGGCTAAAGCCAGGTTTCAAGTCTTTTTTTTTGTACCAGGGATTGAACTCAGGACCTTGTGCTTGAGAGGCAGGTGGCAGCACCACTGAGCTAAATCCCTGGCTCTAGGTTTCATGTCTTGAAGAAAAAAAATTCCAGGACTTGTGAGAGTCAGTGTGAGAGACCCTTAACTTGCTGTTTCCTTGAGCTTTACAGACTAGAAATTCTTAGCTATCTTGGTACCGGTATATGCCAAATCTGAGGAATGCCCCTCAACCATAGAATTTGGCATGTTGAAACTGCAACTATCAACCAGGTCAGTACCCTCAACCAACCCTGAATTTCTTCAGTTCCTTCTCCGGCGTCTGTCCAGTGCTTACCCACCACCAGCAGCTGCCCTCACCAAACTTCTACTGGTGCAAAAATCCTTTCTACATAGTGTTGAACTTGAACTGCATAGAACTTGCACCCATAACCCTGGCCCTCCTGCCTGTACCCCTTCATGTGGGCCCTTGCTGTCTCCCCTCAGTGTTCTCTCCCTGCACCTCAGCTTCCTTAGCTCTTCTTCACCTGAGCTGGGCTTCAGATAACCTGGATCTCTTGCAGCTACAAAAGAGTATCTGTGGCCATGTAAGCACGGGACTCCCAACAGCGGAGGCAGATTTTGCCGGTGTCTGAACAGCTGGGAGGAGACACATTTGTCACCAGCCTTCCTCCATATGTCTTCAATTTAAAATTTAAGCCAAGAGTGAAGCATCATTTTCTTTCTCCTTTGTGAGGATGAAGGAGGCACTTACATCACTCTGTTGATTCTCATTGAACTGATTATTACATAAAACACCTCAGTCATGTCTGCAGCATGGCTCTAACTCCCACATTTGCACTTTGGAAGCACAGAAAAGCCTGTGCCTTGTCTTAGCCCATCATAAGAATTCACAGAAGCATTCCCCTGGTGAGTCAGCACACCTGTCTCTGGGTCTCCGTCCAGCTCAGTGATGAAAGTGCTTCCTCCTTTAGGGACACAACTCAGATCCGATTCCTTTCCACTCTGAAGGTGGAAGAATGGCCAGGTGGGCGGGAGAGGGGGCCCAAAGAAGACTTGAGCACTTGGCCAGAACACGGTTGCCTTTTCCATGTAGAAGAACACTGCCACTGTGAAGTGTGGCGATGTCTCTCTGAACCGCTGCTCATGAAACTGTGTTTCTTGAAAGTGTGTTTGCAGCGGGGTGGAGAGTGAGTAGAAAGGAGAAAAGGCTGCGTCCTCTTGTCTGTCCTTCTTTTTGAGGGTTTGTGGGGATCACTGGCCGAGAGAGGCTTGTCTTAAGCTTTCGGCACTCAGAGTTTCCGAGTTTCTAATTTAGGATGGCTCCAGAGTGCCAGAAATAACTGTAAGGAAGGATTTTGGATTTTAAGATCCATTGTCTAATCTCCCTTTCTCCTTCATTTCCTCTTTTTACCTCCCTTCTTACCTTTCAACTAGCATTTGACCAAGGAGGAATGTTAGGAACTTTATATTATTAGAGATGAAAGAATCTTGAATATTAGGCTCCTCCTTTGTAAAATGGAACAATAAAAGTACCTGCCGTGTAAAACCCACAGATGGCCCTCTGAGGGCATCAGGCCCATTTTCAAGTTTCCATGAATGTGAATGATGAATATCATGAAGGCAGTGGAAGGGGCACCCCTTTCCTGTCTCTCCCCCACCTTTAGATTTTACTGAAAAAGGTAAAAAATGTTCTGGTGACTGGAGCTAATAGGCTAGGTAATTAGAAGGTGGTGACCTTCAATTCTTCAGTGTATTGGAGCAGAAACTTGTCATGCTGGGAATGTTCTTATTGAAATGCTTCTAGGAGACAGCTGCTCGGCTATATGACCTCTTTTAGCTAAATTAGAAGGTCTAACTTTAGTATTTTCTTAGCTGGTACTTTGTGTAGCACCGGGAAGCCCTACCTTATTTTATGTGGATACCATTTCTCTCATTAGAATTCCCAGAACTAGCGCTAGCCACAGTGACTAGGACAGTGGGCCCCATTTTTATTGGCAACAACAAAGAAAAGACACAGCCACAGGGAAATGCAGTATTTGTAGGACTCTAATCTTTTGTTGTTGTTGTTCTTTGTTTGATCTTGAAAGCTGCAAGATTCAAAGTGTTGGTCTGCAGTCAGGACAGTTGAGCTGAGGTCTTTATTGAGATGGTAGCTTCAATTAAAGCCCCTGAAACAATTAATAACAAATAAACAAAATCCATAATAACAAAAAAGAAACAATTGTGGGGGAAGAGGAGACAGAAAAAAGGAAAGACAGAAATTTAGGTAGAATACTTCAAGGATCTGGTAAGTTGTGTGTAAGAGCATTATACTAGAATACTCGCCTCATTTTATATAAAACTTCTAAGTTGCTTAGTTGAAGTGAATACATTTAGTTTATTCCTTAGGAGTAATACTATGTTCTAAGGGAAGAAATTTTCCTCCTTAGAGGAAAACTTTCCATCCTTATGGAATGAAACAAGGAGTTACTAAATTACGGCTCCACTGAGGAATAAGCAAAGAGCTGAGGTCTAGGTAAAGCAAAGGAAATAACAGTCTTGGGTAGGTCCAACAATATGAACAGAATGGTAGGAAGTTCAGCAAAGGAGATTCCCTCATACTGTAAAATTCTTGGTAGCCCTGGAAGGTCTAGAAAATCAGGGAGTAGCATGTCAGAAATTCTAAAGCAGTGAAAGGAAGCTAGGAACTAGGACTTCAAGGTGAGAAGGAGGGGCCGTGGAAAACAATACTGGTGAATTTCAACACCGTGGTTAGACTGTGAGGTGGTTAACTGCAGCCAGAAGAAACCAGAAGGCCACAGGCAAACTTCTCTGGAGCCACATCCCAGGTGGGGATGACTTCACAGTAGATGATAACTTTGCCCGAGAATTCTACCCCATTCTTGCCATCTGTATATATTTTAAAATTTGACGGAAAAAGGATGAGCTCATTTTCCTTCAAAATTATTAAATATATGCCCAGGTGGATTGACATCTTAGGTAACTATATCTTTCAGTTATTACTATCTTGTAAACTTGAAGGAGTAAATTCTCTCATACACAGGTATTTCTGTAAGGGTGAATGAGATGAATAGGATTACTGATACCTTCAAATGGCCATGGTTTCCAGCAGCAAGTATTAAACATTTTCTTTGTAGTAAGTTTGGTGTATGTGTGTGCACTTGCACGTGTGCACTAGATGGCTTCTCTGGCTTTTTAAAACCACAATGACGTGTTTCAACAATAAAAAGTCTTTCAGAACTGCTGGCATGTGAGACAGGGGTATCCAGAAAGTGTTGGCATCTTTGCCAGCAGCATAATGAGTCTTCGGGAAGAGACTTGTTAGGGCGTGATCCATGCACTGCGCCACCAGAGAGAGGTCCACGTTCACACAGGATGCCGTGATTTTCAGTTTGTCTAGTTTAACGACCAAGTTCGGTTCCTGAGATTAGGTTGTTAAATGAATTGGTCACTAAATGAGGAATTGTACATCATATGTACATTACCATATTCAGAACAAAGAAATGGTCAAAGGAAACTCTAACTTGATGACTTGGCTTTTATTTGCATCTCTTACATGCAGTACTGTAATGTACAACAGAACATAAGACTATAGTAGTGTACTATACAGTTCAATCAACAAGAATTATAGTACTGTATAAACAAGGTATGCTGTACAAAAAAAAGACACTGAGGCTCTATAAACAAGATGTATAGAATTGTCCAAAAAATAAAGACAGGTCATAAGACCGAGAGGAGGAATATGTATATTCTGAAAACACTGAAAAGAATGTTGAATTTGGCCACCCTTTGGCTCATCCCAGTATCACATAATGCTTTATCTCTCTTCCTTTTCCTGTTCCTATCAAAGCTTATCACAACTGAGTTCCAGTCCTTTAGAGTCTTTTTCTTAGCAAGGTAACAGAAATGTCTAACTCACTTAGGAAAACATTTACTTATTGCTCAATATTTTGATAAGAGACACCACTGAACAGTCCAGGTTACCCAATGAGCACGGGGCAGGCAGGGGTGTACTTCATTTTGGAAGAGGAAGTCTTCCAACTTCTCTTCCATCCCGCCAAGCACACACTGTCTCAAATGGGCAGGACTGGCCTATGAGATATGGCATTTCTGAACTTACTGGGAAAGAAGTCCTGGGAAGGAGCCCTGGAAGAATATTGGAATGGTAAGTCTCCTTTGTCTGTAAAAATAAGCATGACCGAGGTGATTCCAAGTTGGATTAGGTAAGAAATGGGATTGAAAAGGAGATGTGGCCTTGAGGTCAGCCAGTCTCAAAGCCTGGATAGGCTTTTGTGATGAGTTGAAATCACACGGCCTTGGGATTAGCCAGCTCTACTTTCTGTTTCAACAATAAAAAGTCTTGCAGAATGGCTGGCATGTGAGACAGAGGTATCCAAAAAGCTTTGGCATCTTTGCCAGCAGCATAACGAGTCTTCGGGAACAGACTTGTTAGGGCGTGGTCCATGCACTCCACCACCAGAGAGAGGTCCACGTTCACGCAGGGTGCTGTGCTTTTCAATTTGTCTAGACCTGCAAAAAGAGAAGAAAATGCACTGATTCTTTGGAAGAAGAGGAAAAGCAGAATTGGAGGGTGGGGTGCAGAGGGGAGGATTATGTGAGGAAATTGATTTTGAATCTGTCATCAGAGTTGAGGCCCACTGCGATGTTCTCTAGCTCATTCCCAGGAAAGGAGGCAGCAGTGGCTGTCCAGCAGTGGAGGCCAGTGGCTCACCGAGTTGGATGGGAGACAGAATCTCCTAAAGGGCTTGTTAAACAAAAATTTTTGAAAAATTAAATGGAATTTGGTGGTGTATGCATAGGCATTTAAAAAGTACCCATGTCAATAGCAAGCATAGAAAGCTCCTTTAAAAAGAGGGATTTTGTTGCTGAACTACTAAGTTTCACAGGGTTAAGTTGAGCCTCAGACTGAACCTCTGTAAAGTCTTCAGAGTCAGGATGTAAGAAACAGAACATCGATGAATGTGGTTCTAAATCTGTAGGGAAACATCAGCTGGAAGGCTTGTCAGCTCGGGCACTTTAGCTTGAGGTGTAGAGTGTGTGTGTGGGGCGGGGGGTGTCGCTTGTTTAGAAAACCTCCCAGGTCCACCTGACTCGACTCCTGGCTCCACCTGGAAACTCCCGACCTTGAACCTTGCCACAGCTCATTGTCTCGCCAAGCGCACTGATGAAGAGACAGGGACGCAGGTTGGAGGGACGGAGTGACGCACAGTGTGGTGGGACCCTGCTGTACCTAGAGCAGGAGCTCAGTCAGTGTTTGAGAAACAACCAGTAAATGTTAACACGGCCGGGAAGTTTGGGTTGGAGGGAGCCCTGCCACGGAGTGTGACCCACGTTAGAAAGCAGTGACCAAGAATAAATGGCAGAGTCAGCCCGGGTGGGTTCGAATCTAGCTCTGCCACTTGCTAGCTGCCTAAGTTACTTCTCTGTGCCTCTATTTCTATAAATGAAAGGGATAACACTGCCTGCTTCACAGAGTACTTTGGGGTTTGTAAACTAAGAATCGATAGAAAGCATTTAAAATGGTAACAAGTACCGAATACGTGTTCACAGTATTAATCATTATTATGCAAGCTTTATATTCTGACTTAGTCTTTTGACTTATGTTACTTTTCTTCCCTTTCCCCTGGATATGTTCCTGCTCCAGAAATCTTCCACCCAAATAATTCCTTCCTTTTTTTTAAGGCCTTGTTCAAACCACGAAGATCTCTTAATCAGCAAGGATCTTTTCCTGGTATGAAATCTTTGGGTGATTAGAAGCCACACCATCTAGCATCACTTCTGGGTTGTTGGGTTGTCTCCAAAAAGGGTCAGTTTCCTTGTGGGTGTATAGACACATTGTTTTTCAGAATCACTTGGTTACTTTTTGTGGTCAACCAGATTGTGTCAGAGTCTGAGTCTTCTCTATCTTTCGTAACCTCCACAAATCCTTGAATGGTGCTGAGGAGTGACTGGTATTTTACACAAAGAAGCAAGTGCAGTGGTGAAGACCTTGAGCTCCACAGCTACCGCAACTGTGTCCTGATATGAGCAGGAAAAGTTGTATAACCTTGGCTAGGACATGTCCCTTCCTAAGCCTTTGTTCACTTTCTAGTGGTTCTTTGGAGGAGTAAATGATATAATTCCCAAGTGCTTAGCGTAGAACCTGGCAGGGTTGATAAAACCATCAGGAAAATAAGAGATGGAATGGAATTCGTAGGGATCCCTGATCCACCCACAAGATCCTTGATGTGTTACTTTAGGAACCTCGTTAGTCCGTTTGTTTCAGTCTCTTTCATGCTGCCAAGGGCAATGAATCCCAGAGGACACCGGGTCCACCCAAAACTCACTTTTTTCAATGTAACCTTCTCCATATTGTTGTTTGATATCTGGAGATAGATGCCTCCAAACGGCAAGTTTTTTTTCGGCTGTCTTTATCGGATCTGACAGTTGGGTTTTGAACAATCCTGGTTCAATGCATGAGACATGCACACCGAAAGCTTTCATGTCCCGTCTGTGAAAACAACAGTTAAGATGGTTTTTATTTTATCATTTTAAAAATTTATTTGGCTTTTCTCTTCTTTCTTTTTTGTAGTACTGGTGATGACACCCAGTGTATGCCAGGCAAGCACTCTACCCCTGAACTATATCCTTACCCCTTATTTTATTTTTACATTTTGGTGTTTAACCCAGCTTATCTGAAGAATGTTTACTATTTGAACCCTATTTTCTCCTTAATCTTCTCATTTAACCATAGAATTGGGTGCATTGGAAAGAAGCTTCTTCTTGTACCCTGTCATTCGCAATGGAGAAACTGAAGATCAAGGCGATAGAGTGCAGGGTGGTCGGTGGCAGAACAGGAAAGGGATCTGGGTGGACACGCCCTACCACTGGTCGGTCCAGTGTTCATCCCTTAAGCCATGCTCTCCTCTTTGACCTGATGAGCATTCAGGTTGACACCTACTCTTCGGTATTGGGAATACCTTACAGTACTATAGGCCTGGCCTGGTACTGGCCGCTGGTATGGGACTGGCCTGGATGGACGGGTTTGCTCCAATTGCAGCACAAATGAGGATAAGCTGCAGGACACAGTGTGATATGCCCGCCTGACCTGTGTGCTGCCGAGCAAGCCATTTTCTGCCACTACAGAAAACCGGAAGGCTACTCATTTACTGAGAACTAAGGTTTTAGCAAAATGGCACCCATTTCTTTAAAGCAAAAAGAAATGTACAGCAAACTACATAATCATATGAATAATCATTTCATATATATATATTATATATATAT